GGGTGGTCGCTTGCTCGTTTGCCACCTTATGTTATAAAAAAAACGTAGAAAATGAACGGCTTTGTATTGTTGGAAAGAAATGGATGGCAGATAACAATAGACAGAAATTGTTAGTTATAAAATATAATACAAAATATAGCTTGTTACTCACCGATATCGTAAAGTTTAATGGTGAAAGGATATCTGAAAATGACCGAGAAGTTTTCGAGTTATTTCAATAAATATAAAAAAGCAATCTTTCCTCTTTCGCATTTAAAAAATTGTCTGTCGGTCTATCGGTGTAATCTCCCATAACGGCTGAACCGATTTTGACGGGACTTTTAGGAAAGTAGTTGATGCATGCAAAACTATTATAGTCGAACTTTTTTTAATTTCGCATTAATTTTTGACCCTTTCGCTTTTTACCCTTTTCTTATAAGGAAAAGATGGGAAGTTAAATTGACGATTGATTTGACGTCATTTCGGCATTTCGGCGGATTCAGATGGCGGCTTACACGTTTGCCACCTTACAGGTCTATATTATTTTCTAAAATGCCACAGGTCCAGAAATAGCGGAACTGAACGAGTTAACGAAGCAGTACTACGAGCGGCGCGACGAGCTGAAGCAGGTGCAGGCGCAGAGCGCGCGGCTTGAGGAGCAGCTGTGTGACGTCAGCGCGCACCACACCGCGCTCGCCGACAAGTACAAGCAGCTCACCGCCAGGGAGTGAGTACTACCATACTCCAGGGGTTACAAACCATTGGCACACCACAATATATTTTGGGCACATCGAAAATCATAAAAACACTATAAAATTATGCCGTAACATACAAAAAAACTAAAAATATACAGACGAATTGAATACCTCCTTCTTTTGGGAAGTCGGTCAAAAATCATGAAATAGGTGCACCATGGAATTGACGCAGTCCAAATTATTTGATGGCACATCTAAGACATTCAACATTTAATTAAAAATGGCACTTTGATGTATATTGTTCGCCCTTGCCTTGCGCCACTAGACCATAAAAATGAACACTTTTTGTCCAAGCAGAAAGGAGGGGCTAGAACCAAAAATTGTAGTTTATTACCTTTCGTCCGTGAATCTGTTCGCATGGAATTAAAAACAACAAAAGTAAATAACCTATGTGTTCTTTCAGACTATCCTCTACGTCTGTATCTAATGTCATCGAGATCCATTCAGCCATTTAGGCTACAAACTCTTAACAAACATCCATCTAAACTTTCGGATTTATAATTATTATCTCTAACTATGACTATTCGTGATATTAATGCGATGTATCGACACTTGTTTTTACTGAGTTTTGTTGTAGATCTGAGGCGGAGAATCAATTGGATAGTTTGAGAGAGCACGCGCAGCGGCAGGAGAACCGTCTCCAAAACGCGCATGACGTCATTAGTCTTAACTTGAAACGTGCAAAGAAGTTATTTGACGATGTCGACGAGTGGCGCATATTTAAGGTAAAAAAAACGTTATCATTTAATTATACAATGTATTTTGTTTACATATTTTTTATTTCTTACAGAGATTATGTGTGTATTTCATTTTTGTGGAATTTGTATAGTTTAAATTTATTTAAAATTTTACACAAATTTTCACTTACGGAATTTTATGAAAAATTGCTTATCTTATACTTCGTGCAATATTATATGTCATTATATTTATCAAATCTATTGAACAAGTTAAGAAAAAAATACGTGACATTTTAGTGTCTTGGTAAAATATAATTATTTTTTTGTTATAAAAATCTCCCTCTGACTAACGATCAAAGAAGTGACGTCATATAATTGTATGAAGTTTTACAGTTTTTTTTAGTTCGCGGCTTTATTCCATCACGTCGTTTCCCTAACGCATTTTTAGTCTAGGACCTGGGAAGTGGGTGTATGTTTATGATAGTTGTAAGATATGTATGCGACAGTTGTCGATGTACAACCGCAACTTTGCGGAGGCGGCGCACAGCGCGCTGCAGGGCGTGAGCGCGGCGTGCGCGGGCATGCGCGCGGCGCGGGCGCAGCTCGCCCTGCTGCTGTGCGGGGAGGACGTGCGCCGCAACCTGCCCGCGCACCACACGCGACTGCACTCATACGTCGACAGGTACATACAGTACTGCATATTATAACTTCTAGCTGTTCCCATGCGGCTTCATCAGCAGAAAATTATAAAAAAATATTTACCCCCTAAGTTTAATGGCGTGAAAATATATAGCCTAAAGCGTGACGTAAGCGTAGGGCTTTTTATAAAAAAAAGAATTATTCAAAAATATGCTGTAATTGCTGACATCTTATGCAACAAAGAAGTGTGTGTTTACGGTTTATTATAATAGTATAGATATAGATATAGAATAATAAAAAAACAAAATATTCTCAAACAAAAGTTTACACAAAAAGTAACGAAATAATTCCTTGAAAATAGTAAACCTCCCTTATTGTAACTGTTACGTCTATATTGTACAATTATTATTACTTTGATCTCGGTGTCAGCCAAGGTATGCAGTGATATTTCTACGTAAGGGTTTCCATATTTTTACCATAACAATTGACAATTGAAAGTATAGAACAATTAAGTAATGAATCTACATTGACTGACACCTACTTCTGAAATAAAAGACAGAAGATTAGAGATGTTTTTTGTATAATAAAATATTAATAGTCCAAATACATTTAATTTTACGTCTTTTAATATAAACATAATTAATTGATTGTTGCCTTGACAGAATTATTTCTAGCGAGTCGGCTGCCTCACTCGAAACTCCTCCAGCACTTGAAGGTTAAAATTTTTAATATTTTATATTACATTTGCAACTGAATTGTTACAAGTTCTCTCATCTTATACATCGTATACTTGTAGCTTTAATAGTAAAAAATACTAAATACTTTTAAAATAGATATGGTACATAAATAAATTATAAAATAACTGTTTAAAATAATTTAGTTCTGTCGTCATGTTTTTTAATATGTGGCCGTGATTGCTTGTTTGTACTTAAGGATAACCAGTGTTATTTGCCACTACTAAATTAGTTATTTAAGTTTATTGTAAATATAAACAAACCGTTATTATTACACGGAAAACATGCAGCTTACTAAATTACTTGTTATTTATAATAAATGTTATTCTGTAGGTACTTAAGACCATTATCCCTAAGGTGGTGTCCATAAATTACGTGAGGTGTTTAAGAGGGGATGGGGTCGAGACAAATCTCATCTAATCTTACGTGGTAGAGAGGGGGGTCTCGGCAAATGGCACGCATTTTTTTTGATTGAAACAAAAAAAATATACTATTTTGGTCCATTTAATCCAGGTTGTACCTCTTTAAGATTTAATCTTATTAACAATCCAAACGGGTTGACGTAAGAAACTCACATTTTGAAAAATCTCACGTGTGATTGGGGGATGGGGGAGGGGTTGAATAAAATCTTACGACATCTAACCAGGGGAAGGAGGAGCAGAAAATTAAAAAAAAACACCTTACGTAATTTATGGACGCCCCCTAACAAATAGTTAACATTTAAGTAGGTTGCATAAAATCTATTCTGTTCTACAAAGCAAATTACAAAATTAATTATTTAGAGTTTATTACTTATTGTTGTCTAAAATATATAAAATACTTATTTCGAGACTACATCTGTATGGAATTACAAATTAAATAACATATGTGTTCAGCCAGAATTAGCTCTACATCCATGCCAGAAAACGAGATCCATTCAGTAGTTTGGACGGCAAATTCTAACAAACATACATCTTAACTTTTGCGTATATAACTTTAGTAAGATATTTGTATGGAGATAATTGTTTTGTGCAGCGTCAGTGTTCTCGGAGTCACAGCAGTCGATCTGCAGCGGCGTCAGCATGGCCAGCGGCTACACGAAGCGCCTCTCCGCCTTCCGCAGGACGCTCGCCCCCAAAGTCGCAGAGCGGAGCGTCAGTACACTATTATATGTTAAAATACTAATTTTTCTCCGTATTTTTACTTTATTCATTACATGCATTTGTCACCTTTTAATATCCTGAAACGACATTAAAAAATGTAACTGCGTCTTAAAAGATAAGAACGCGCTTTAAATCCTTCAATTAAATTTTGATGTCCCCAATTGTAAGCGGCACTTACGAAGCAAGGGTTTTAAATTTATTTTCAGTATTCGGCTGATGTCAACGTATGCTCATATCATTGTGTTTTTTACAGATAGCAGATGATATTCCTGACCAAGGTAATTATCTTATTGTGTCTTTTTTTCTGTTGAATTTTAATAGCCATTGTTTTATCAAGGGTAGCAGGCGACCGTTTATATTCAAGTTTAAAACTCGCAGTCCCACGCCTATATTATCATAAGTTTTCGGTAAAAGATGCACTTTCTCGATGCCCTTCAAACTTTTTTATCACGTCGCAGCTACTTGTACAGCGAATTTTGTATACCTGGTATTATTTGCACATATTTGACTAAACTATCGCGCTACTATTTAGTCGCGCTTTGATTCCTGTGATCTTATATGCTCGCACACTAGTCGTAATTGCGTAACAATCGACAATCGCACAATAGTTATGCGATAGTTTGGTCAAAGGTGTGCGCGGTTCTTAGTATGTTTGTTGTCGAAGCTCGAAGGTCGACGGTGTCGCTGCGAGTCATAAACCTGGGCATCAGGGAGCCGCAGCCGGGGGAGTGTTCCGACATATGCACCTCCAGGTCCAGAGCATTCCAATGACTATCGAAACACCTTTTTTAACCAGTTATATTTGTGTGCGTATTATGTTTTGTTCCATGTTTGCTATATAAAATTTACATTCGATATTTAAAAAAAATGTTTTATTTTATAATCTACTGACTCTTTTATTATTTGGTCTGAATTTAATTTGGTTATAGCTGAAGTATAAATACCACGTAATCCAAACGGCCACAATCGAAACGTAAACTGAGTACCAGAATTTGATATGAGGAACTTGATAGTAATTACACGCCCCCAAATTATTTTGTCCCTGAAATTGAGCCTGTGGACTAGCTAATTATACTAGTTTTCACTACATTGACATTTATTCTTCTTTATTGAATTTTCAAATAGCTTTTTTATTTTTATCGAATACAGCTTCGCCTCGTGAAATTAATAAATAATAGAAAATATAGTCTATGTTACTCACAGATAAATTACCTATCTAACGGTGAAAGAATTTTTGAAATCGGCCCAGCAGTCTACGTAAATCGAAAATAAAAAAAAACAAATTCATCTTTATAATATTAATATTGATTGGGAATCTTTTTATATGTAATCAGTACTATAATTTGTCTACATAAAATAGATTAGTTTGATAAATGACGTATATGAAGTATCGAATTCAATTTCTATGAAGGCAAATGCTATACTTAATAGACAGGTATCGTAGTGACGAAACAAACACACATAGTGAACAATTTGGAACTATCGATATTCGGCTTAAATAATTATCAAACTCGATTAAAATGATTATCTTCTTATTAACTAATTTATAGGACAATTCTAGTATTGATTAAAGTATAAAGATTTTAGCGATGACAGAAACAATAGCGAAATCCAATTCGATTACGTACGGCTGTAGTAGTAATAAACATTTATTTACTCTCGTTATTTGTTGTGGTCATTATGATTTGAGAAAAGTGTTTTTTTTTTAATTCATAGGTTATAACTATAAATCTATCGATTCCACCTTCTATAAGAATAAAAATCGAAAATCGATAAGATTCATGACTGATTTTACACAACCCATCCCTACTAAATTTGAAATGAATTGTCAAACTAATCTAAATTATTTAGACACACAAAAAACAATCATTCATTGTTATAATAATTCATCTTTATTAACATCATAATTCTAATTTTGAAATATACATCACATACTGTCTTTTAAAATAAACATGAAAAACAATGTCTGAATCAGGCAAGATATTAACAAACAGTTGTAAACAATGGTTCAGGTGGGATTATTACATTGACATATAATTTGTTATTTTTATTTCATGCAAATGCTCACTATACAAGCTGTCTACTTTAATTACGTGCTATAGAAAGTATTGTGTAAGTAAGCTCTAGTTAAGGTATTCATATACCTGGAACATCCCATTTCACAAACGCTACAAAATATTTCTAATACATCACACTCTAAAAACAGATTTTGACAATATTTAAAAAGTAAATTAAAACATACACTTATTCCATTAATTTGTCATGAATTTAAAATGATAAAGTAAAATAATTATGCATTATTTATACAAGTCAGGAACTATAATCAGAACTTTTTCAAGTTATTGATAAGAAAATAGGCCATATAAAAAGAAGACCTAAATTAAGTGCATCTTTTCTAGATTTTTTTAATTTTTTTGAAAATATGTAAGAGATATGTAAATAAATTACAGTGTAAATACTTCAATGAGCTTAAAAAGTAGATAAAAATAATACATCACAATACTAAGTCTGCTCTGGGCCCCGTGTATGAACAGTAAAAATTAATAATAATAAATATGACATCATGTGTTCCATTACAAAATTTGAAATCAACACCAAATTTTGTCATGGAAATTACATTAAAAATTAAATGTAAGCAAATGCCTGTAAAATTTTACAATAAATCAGTTATCAATTTGTCTAAAACATAATTGTGGCAATTAATACTATAGTGATTCTAACACTGTTTATACAATCTACTTCATAAGATAGTTCACTGTGTAATTTACATTCCAAAACATAGAAAAATTATCTACTCCACAAATAGGACATAGTGGCTGGAATACGAGCTGCCAAAACCAAATAACATTGGGATTTCAATAGTGAGCAAGCCATGTGTTGACCTGCAGAGACTTCGTTTTGTCGCATGATGTGCCCGACTACGTTTCACTTCACGTCGCCATATTGGCCTTTCACTTATTTCAAACAGTGTTAGAATATCAAAACGTCATAAGTCAGGAAAACGCAGAGGATCTTCTACATAATCTTCAGGTATAACAAACAAATCAGGAGGTATATTATCACGAAAATCAAACTTTTGAAAAGTAATTTTTGCTGTAACTGTTGGTAGGATTGGTATATCTATTTTGACTGGGAAGCCCTTGGGTAACTTCATGGCTACGAATTGTCGTAATTTAGCAAAGTGTTTGAATGGGGCTATCACTTCCAAAACATTTAATAACATGTCAACACTTAGTGGGAACTCATCACTCATTGCAATTGTAGCTCGGAAGTTCCTTGAGGACTCTTTGTAAACTAGTTCCCTTCCCAAGCTGGGATATTGTCCTGGAGGAGAAGTAACGTAAATCTGCCAGTTCACTCCACTCTCTGGAGGAGGATTTAAAGATGCACGCCGAGTGGGCTCACCATTAGTGTCCAAATTCTGAGTATTACCTTTCGTAAGACTTTCAATAATTGCTTTATTTTTCTGCAAATCATCAGTTGATAAATGCTCTCTGCGCTTTCGAGATTCCAGTACTAGCCCTGTTATTGTGTAGATATCACTTTTATATAGACCGGCAACAGTTTCTTTGCGATCTTCACGAAATATCCAACCGGACTGGGCCCTAGAAAATAGTATACCTTTGGTAGACATCTGTGCTGCTAGGATGTCACTTGACATTAATATATCAACCTCATCTTCAATTTCATTTTCTGTTTCTTCATAGCGAACTCTTTGATATACTTTAGCTTTATTGTCTAGAACTGTTAAGGCCTCACCTTGTGGTTTTTCGCCTTGAAATATAAATGAAATATCACCTCTCTCCCATTTCATATCAGAAAAATCTACCAATGTAGTATCCAGCCTGATGCCAGAGCCCGATTTATAGATTTTACATACATCAGAAGGCAGTATTCTGGAAACTAATGGTACCCACGAATGAAAATCCCACTTTAGTTCCATGTAAAAATCTTGTATTTGAGCAAGGGCTCTAATTAGGTCAGGCCTTCTTCGGTCCATTTGCTCTCTGGCTTGTTGCTTTAGTTTCCGAACAAGTGAGGATATTGTCTGCCTGTCACCGTAACTGATAGCCTCTGCAAGAGGTGACCAGCCGGCAAGGTTTTTGACTTTGACCGGTGCGCCATGAGCCAGAAGAAGTTGTACGCATTCTTTGCGCCCCAGCATAACTGCCAAGTGTAGGGCAGTATTGCCATGTTTATCTTTGCAAGTGATGTCATTGAATCTTAGTAATGATGATAGTTTACGTACGTCTCCAACGAAAACACATTCGTGTAAAGGGAACGTTTCTTCCTCTTTTTTACAGACGGAATTAGACATCGCGTGCGTACCAATTGTGTCAATTGATTACTTACATTAGTGACTAATTACAAAAAAGTCTTCAGTAAAAATGAATAAATATCTAATCAAAATGATAAGATTAGTTTCAGAGAAATTACCAATACCGTACACATGATTTCGCTTAGTGTCCAATGCGATTCAAGAAACTATCGTAGTAACTCATGTTTCTCTGCCCGACACAAAAACTGTGATATGTATACAACACGCTTGCACTAAAATATAATCTTCATTTTAATATTTAATAATTTAATAGGTTTATTGCACTAATTTACATCGAACAGTTGCAGCTAATTGAATGACAGTGACACACTGACGGCGGCTGTCAATGTTATTGGGCCAGTGACACACGGCGTTCTTTTTATATTGTGGTTATTTTGTTGTTTTATACCGATAGAAAGGTCTAAAACAATTCCCGTTTCTCAATTTTATGTAAAATTAAGAAATGGGAATTAAAATTAATAATATGGAATAAAATACTGAACGTTAATTATACAAAATGTTACCAACAATTTACGATCGCCGGCATGTTACAATCTGCCTAGGTAGTCTGAAGATGAGTAAAGATATATGAAATTAATGGTTTTAAATGATATAAAAAAAAATTATGTACAGTTATTACAATTATTTAAAAAAAGGCAAAAGCGAACGTGGAGAGGAAAATGGTTGCTTTAAAACATACATACATAGCAGTTGTAACATGTGAAGCTAAAATCGTTATTCAAAACCCATAGCCAGATGTTAGTTGTGATGCTGACGCGATTTTTAATGGTTACGATAAGTTTGCTGCGTAGGAGCTTTTGAGGAGATAACTCTTTAACGTTTGAACTGATGCGGATTAATTTCATTGGATTCAGTAGCTGCTTTTTAACTACATACGTCCACCGTAATAGAAGTAAGACTGGATTCTATATCTGTGTGGAAAAGAAATATAGATACCTAAGATTTACGTGAACTATTATCACAGTGCGCAGAAAAAAATCTAGGAATCGTATAATTTAGAAAAAGTGTTGCTTTTATGAATTGTACACAAATGAATGAGTCGAATATAAGACAGGGCGGCACTCGAGCCCATCGGAGAGCTAATTACAACGAATTAGGCGAAAACATAAATCTATTTCTTGAAATTATACTATAAAACAATAGTTTTACAGAACATTAACGAAGCTAATATTATTTATTAGTTGTTTTGTTACTTGAAATTGAAGAAGGAAGAGAGGTGAATTATTAAAAGCCAATGGGTTGCAGTTATAGTTTCCAAAAACATTTTGTTTGGGATTGCTTAAAGGTTTACTTTTTAAAAAGGTACTTATTGTAAAATACCACGGAAATTTTAAAATGTAGCCAAAGTTATGGTTTTCTACTCACCTGTTAAGGAATTTTTTTTATGTGCACTATACATGACAGTTATCTAAATTCCATCACCCAAAAGCATCAGTAACAGTAGTGGATACAAAATGTCGCGACTTTCTTTCTCTTTGATGATGATTGGAGGTGGCTGCGAATATGGGCAAGGCGGTGCCGCACCGCAGCACGAATATTGACATGATACAGTGTAAATCTAAAAAAAAATAGTAAAATTCAAGTATGTGTTACTTTTATAACATTAAATAATAATATTGTTTCTACACTTACATTTAAAATGAAGACGAAAGCAAAACAAATAAGTAAAAATTTGGCCGCCATTTTCCGTAGCGAGTGGCAAACGATACCAACTTTTTCAAGT